GTGGTCGCCGCCGCCTCCAGTCCAGAAGTCAAGGATGTCTCCTCCGGCATCTCTGCCTCCGGTCACCGCCAGTCCTGCCCTCACCAGGCGCGGGCCCCCAAAAGCCCGTCGGCGTCTCCTCCTCTGCCACAGACGCTGGCCCCCAAGAGCCCGTCTGTGCCTCCTCCTCTGCCACAGACGCAGGCCCCCAAGAGCCCGTCATTGCCTCCTCCTCTGCCAAAGATGCAGGCCCCCCAAGAGCCCGTCGTCGCCTCCTCCTCTGCCACAGACGCTGGCCCCCAAGAGCCCGTCGTCACCTCCTCCTCTGCCAAAGATGCAGGCCCCCCAAGAGCCCGTCGTCGCCTCCTCCTCTGCCACAGATGCAGGCCCCCAAGAGCCCATCTGTGCCTCCTCCTCTGCCACAGACGCTGGCCCCCAAGAGCCCGTCTGTGCCTCCTCCTCTGCCAAAGATGCAGGCCCCCCAAGAGCCCGTCGTCGCCTCCTCCTCTGCCACAGACGCTGGCCCCCAAGAGCCCGTCGTCGCCTCCTCCTCTGCCAAAGATGCAGGCCCCCCAAGAGCCCGTCGTCGCCTCCTCCTCTGCCAAAGATGCAGGCCCCCCAAGAGCCCGTCGTCGCCTCCTCCTCTGCCACAGACGCAGGTCCCCAAGAGCCTGTCATTGCCTCCTCCTCTGCCACAGATGCAGGCCCCCCAGAACCCGTTGCCGCCTCCTCCTGAGCCCCAGACGCAGGCCCCCGCACTCTACTGGTCCCTGTCTCCTCTCCATCGGTCCCTCGGTCCCTCTCGGCCCTCCCTCCGGGTTCCCCCGCCTCCCGCCCTGCTCTGTGTTCCTATGGGTGTCTGGGATCCGCCCTTTTTTTTTTGGGGGGGGGGGGGTACTGTCACACCCTGTCCTGTCTCCCCATTCTGTTCAGTCATGTGTCTTTGTTAATTGCTCCCACCTGCCTCTCGTTTTCCAATCACCCAAGCTCCCAGCCCTCATGTATTTAAACCCCTTCAGTTCTGTGTCTCTTGTTGGCTCATTGTTTCATTGTCCTACGTGTCCCTGATTAAATCCTTGTTTTAAATGTTCCTGTCTGCCTGCCTGCCTCCTTCCTCACCCGCGTGTGGATCCTCACCTCCGTTTCACTCACCAGCACGCTTGTGAAAGCATGTGTCCCCTTTGAATTGGCCTGCCTTCATCCCACCATCTGGAGCTCAGAGCCTGCAGCTCTGAGCACAGATAACAAAATGTCAACAATAACATTCTCTCCTTAAGGTCCAATCTTTCAGCACTCTTCATGCCTCTGTATAAGGAACACTCGCAGCCCGGATTTCCTAAATCAGATGTGAACCTCTACAACTTGTAAGCTAGATAATCATTAAATAAACATTTGTTTATTGCTACTTATAATAATTATAATATAATGGGATGTTTCATTAATCTGTGCTCAGTGATTGAAGTTTGAAATGAATGTTATGTCATGATTACAGTGATTGAAATACATTTCAGCATGTTTATATGACAAGGTCATAACCATTTGCACTCACACAAGGACAAAGTAAGGTTAAGTTAAACCCGTGACACATAAATAAGCCTTTACCCCAGATCAGAGCTTCCGGATCTAAGAAGGCGTGTTTCTGAGTTGTCTTGTTAACATTCCTCAACTTGTCAATCTCTGATTGACTACGCAAATCATAACATGAGAACCTTAAAACTGGATCACTCTGGTGAGTTTTTAGTTCTAGAGAAAGTTTCAGACCGGCCATCTGAAACAAAACCTTCTTTAACCCATCAAAGATTTTGACACGTCGTCAAAATCTTTTTGCACCTGCAAAGCTGATACCGCAACAGTTCCTGCAGAACAAGTTGATATTGTTTAGACTCCTTAGGAGTCCCAGACGCACGGTTCCATGCATCTGTTGTGACCTGGAGACAACTCTAAGACCAGTTTAGTGGGGCCGCAGTTTCTTCTATGGACCTCGGTGCCTGGAAGTCCGAGGACTTCGACATTCCGGATCTATCATGAGGGTCTTCGAGTGGGTAAGTAGACATGACAGATAGCGTCTGATGTGTTTTAATAACAATCAACCTCATAGCTTAATGCAAACCAAATTCTTTTACATCCAGAACTCGGCTCTCCAAGATACGGAAGTTCTGACTAACACTGCATTCACACATAGGTTCATACATCACATCTAGTTCCATCCATCACAGTAAATGCTTAGTTAACTTACCATGTTTTAATTGTTGGTAAAATAAATTCTTACTTTTGAAAACCTGACTCTTTTCTGAATCAATATGAAGTGTTTACAATCCCCTAATAAATAAAGAATCCTAGAATCTTCTGATTAAACACCATAAAGACCAAGCAGGGTTGATATTCTATATTTAGATCAGGGGTGTCAAACATGCGGCCCGCGGGCCGGATCCGGCCCGCAAGCGGGTTTAATCCGGCCAGCGAGATGGTTGTGTAAACTTTATTTTCATACTTTACAATGTAGAGTAAAAATAAACTTATCTTTGTGAGCGAGTTTCCTCTGTAACGAGTATAAATAAAACAAAGCTGCGCTCAAGGCTCACAAGAACTTGAATCACATCCTGAAGTTGGCTGCCACTCAGGATGTGACTTCTGATATTGATGTTCTGGTGAAAGCTAAAAGATGTTAAGTAAAATGAGTAAAATATACTTTAAGTGCTTCATGAAACTGATCTAGCCATGTGATCTGTAAGCTCTTTGAATCACTAAGGAATGTTTTTTTAATTTATTGATTTTTTTTTTCCCCCCAAAATTTCAAGTGCACTTCAGGTGTTGTACTTGTACTATTTTGGATACACTGCCCTCAGGCTCCAGCTTTGTTTTATATTGATTGTATTAAAACAAATGAAACAATCTGAAGTTGTTTTTAATTTACCGGTCTGGCCCACTTGGGACTAGATTTCCCTCAATGTGGCCCCTGAGCTAAAATGAGTTTGACACCCCTGATTTAGATAGAGTATCACAGCTTATTGGTCAAAATTAGAGGTAAAATATATATTGAGCTCTTAAAGCACTCAATTTACCAAACCCTAGAAAATCATGTATTTATTGGCACTGGGATGGCCAACAGTTTTCAAGAGATAATCATGACCCCCCACACCCCACCCCCACCCCAGCCACCCCATGGGGGCGCCACTGTCTCTAGAAAATGACGCTCATTGTGCCAAATAGAGAAAAGAGAAAGCAATTTCCAGAGTCACCTCACACTATTTTAATGCTGAAGCTTGACACCTACAAGGTAAACATGCTCTCTTTTGTGGAAAAAACAACATTTTTCCCGAGCTGCTTCTCACAAACATGCTAGTAGTTTGGCTTTCTTTTCTCCTTTTGCAGCACTGGGTTTCTAACTTGCCTCCACCCAGCATTTCTACCCTGCCTCTACCCGTCTTGGTCCACTATCGTTCCTCATCCTCTTACTGCTCCCCACAGCCTGGTTGTACGACAGACTCCATTCATTTGGCTGCTGCCTGGAGCCCACTAGTCAGGCTGCACATGCACACTGAAAGATTGATGGAACCAGGAGACGAAGGAAGCAGTGATGGAGGAGCAGAAATAGAGACAGAGAGGTGGAAACAAAAAGAGGCATAAGGCAAGCCTTTTTAAGGTGTTTGAGAAAACAGAGATTTATCAGTGAATAAAATCACGATCAAAGCCGTGATGCATGCTTCCAGTCAAACATTTTGCACGTGTTTTTAGACTTTTAAGTTCACTTAAACTCTCAGAATAAAAAATAATCAAGAGCAAGATGAGTTTGTTATGTAAAGAACATATTTTCTGTTTGACTTAAAAATATATCAGAAATACAAGAAAATGAAAAGAAAGTCTTTTGTCATAAGCTTAAGTGAAAAATAGAAAAAAACAAAAAAAAACATTTAATTCAGGTAGCATTAGCCAATTTACTGTTTACTGACACGGTAATTGGATTTCAATAATAAATGAAATGTTTTGGTTGATTTATTACCTCTTACAGACATGCATTAGAGTCCTGGTGTTCCACAAAACAAATGAGGTAATCGCACAAACAATTTGGAGCGGTGATTCAAATAAAAAAAAAGATCCCAGTTGGAATGATTGTTTTTCTTTATGCAACCTGCATTTAAAGAGCTGACGAGAGGAACATTTTTACAGTTTATTTGATTTATTTTATTTTATTGATCTAGTAGCTCTGCAGGTAAACATCACATTGTAATATGTCATTTTTACAAAATGTGCCCATTTGAATCAAATCTGCAATAATACCGGTGCTCCATACTACTAGTCTTTCAGATTTTACTATGAACTAAAAGTATGTCAGATTTTGTGGAGGTTTATGTGTTTATATGAGTTTAACATGTTCTGATACTTGTTAATATCTCGGGTACTTTGGATAATATCACAGATGGATATAACTGTGGTTTTGATATATGACACCATAACATCATGGCTGCAACCGAATACCTTAGACTAACTCAAACATAGAAAGGCAAGTTTTTTTTCTGCATATTTCCACAACATCTGATTAACAGTGTTTTTTTGCATCCTTCTAATATGCATGTAAACACAGCAAAACAACGACAGTCACCAGCTGCATTTCTCCATCCTGTGATAAAACTTCCAGCTGATGAGAGATAGATACAAACACAAAGAAACAACAGAAAGGGAAGCAAAGTATAACTTTGAATCACTTTACCCAAAAAAATAAAATAAAACATTCCCTTCAGTGGCTGTGAAACATCTGCTGTAATAACAGAGCTGCCGTAAATATCACCCCCTGAGCGTTACAGTAACATGTTTCCACAAAATAAAACAAAATCCATCTTGCTGCACCCAAATGTTCTAACAGAGATTTGTAGACACCATGATGAATCAACACTCTATGTAGTTTTAACAAAGTATTACCAAACACCATCAGCACAGCTGTCTCTGAGTGCTGCGCTGTTCACAACCTCCCTCACACATTTAGTCCATCCACTTCACAGCGAGAGAAATAAAATGAAGCTCACCTTCATGTCCAACTCTTCTGTTGTTTCTCTGATCCAGTACACATGTGCCTGTCTTGGTGTGTGTGTGTGTGTTAGAGAGAGCGCGAGAGTGAGAGGGAGGGAGAGATGACAGTAAGAGCGTTTCTACGTCTGAAAGCTTTGAGTCCTCGTCTGCCCCTCTTCACCTAGAGTCACAGGGGAGGGGAGTCCTGCCGGCTGCACAGCCGAGGTGCTGGTTGTAAATGCACATGTGTGCATGTGAAACAAGTGAATGTAGCTGAGAGAGAGAGAGAGAGAGAGAGAGAGAGAGAGAGAGAGAGAGAGAGAGAGAGAGAGAGAGAGAGAGAGAGAGAGAGAGAGAGAGATGTTCCTTCTTAAACACCACTTCAACTATAAGAATTATCTATCATCTATCTATCTATCTATCTATCTATCTATGTATCTATCTATCTATCTATCTATCTATCTATCTATCTATCTACTATCATCATCTTCTGTTCTCAGTGGGTCTCAATTTCCTCCTCTCCCTCTCATCTCACCGTATCGAATGTTCATCCTCCTGACTCTCCCTCTCCATCCCTCTGTCCCTCTAAAGAGCAAGCTCACATTTCTCTGTTCTCCTGCATAGACCCATAAAGGGGAGGGAACAGAGAATAAATAGATGGTCAGGCTTCCTTTGTTTTTCACTGTCCAGCCATCCGTCTCTCCTGCCTGCATCTTCTCACCTTCTCTTACATCTCTCTCTCTCTCTCTCTCTCTCTCTCTCTCTCTCTCTCTCTCTCGCTCTCTCTCTCTCTCTCTCTCTCTCTCTCTCTCTCTGGAAGCATACGCGCTCCTTTCATTCTGGTTGTTCACATCAAACACTAAATTGTGAGGAGGTGCAGACACAGCAAAGAGTGTCTCACATTTACAAAGCTGCTCCAGACATGTTCAAGAAAAGATGCTGCATGTTTTCCCACAGAGAAAATAATCAATGGAAGATCAAACCCCTGAAGAAAATTCTATAATCCTTTTATGAGACAGCTATACTGACAAGTTTCTCAAATACACAGCATCAGACCATCAGCAGCAAACCTTTTCTGCTCTCTGCTTGTTGGTTGTGCGCTGACACAGATTAGTCTACAGAGGGTGCTGGCATGCTTCACAAGTCACACCATTACAGTTCGGAAGGGACAAAAGAGTAGAGAGGACTTTGTTTTCAAGCTTGAGTTTTCAGTCTCCAGCAGCCTGTGTACCTTAAAGAGGGACTGCACACCCCAGTCAAGATTTGACAAATGCTATGAAAGTGGGCATTGCCAGGAGGCACAGAGTGGCATGGCCAAGTGGGGGAAATTTCCATCCCGGGAGGGAGGGGGAGTGGGAGGGAACTGTACCCATGGCGTAAAATTGTGCAGCCCCAGTCAATCACAAATTTAATATGTAGTAGCCTCAGTTCAACCCACGGGGGGCGGCACAAAGACCGTTTCAGACCAAGATTCTAGATTTATTCAAATTTACACAAACATGTCAAAAAATGCACAGAAACAGACAGAATGCATTTGTAAAGACCCAATTATTCAGTTTATAAGCAATAAATAAATAAATAAATAAATAAAACAGTTATTTTGTAGTTTTACTCTTTCATTAATCATCAGCTCAAAGTGTGCACCTCAAAGTGCTCAGTCCCACCAGCAGGTGGCACTAACACAACAAAGAAATTGTCCAAAGCGCAGGGCTGAGCCATGGTTGTCGATGAGACGGGCATGCTGGCAGGCCTGAACGTAGGTGGCTGGGAGTTGTAACGATTTTCTTAGCAGTTTTATTGATAAGATGATTGCTATTGTACACACCACCCCTATATCTGTGATAACTGTGCCACCTAGGGCCACGCTATCAGCTTTTCTACCTGTGGCTATATCAGAGTTGGAAAATTTTGTTAATAGTCTGAAGCCAACTGGTTCTCCTTTTGATTGTTTTCCTGTTCTAACACCATTTCTATTGGCAATCGAGTCCAGCTTCCTCTGTGGTACCCGCCGCAACCTTTAAGAGGTTTGTGGTGAACCCTTTGCTGAAGAGGATTATGTATGCTCAGCTGGTATCTTTTTTAGACACCCATGAGTTATGGGAGATGTTTCAGTCTGGGTTCAGGGCAGGACACAGTACAGTGACTGCACTTCTAATGGGAGTTGTCTAACATCTTTAACAATGCCTTTCAAGCTGCTGACAGAGGGGACGCTGTTGTTCTGCTAATGTTGGACCTGTCGGCAGAATTTTTTATTTTCATTTGTCATGCATTTGACTCAGTTGACCATGATGTCCTACTGGAAAGACTTCAACAGTGGGAGGGGCTTCTTGAGACGGCTTTGCAATAGCTCCGTTCATACCTCAGAGAAAGGACATTCTGTCTTTGTGTAGGGAAATCTTACTCCCCTTGGTAGAATCCAAATGGGGAGTCCCACAGGGCTCTGTTTTGGTTCCCCTCGTTTTTGCCATCTACATGCTTCCGCTGGGGTTCCTTCTTAGCCAGCATGGCTGCTGACAATCGTCAGATCTTCCTTCCACTTCAACGGGGGCACGTGGATCAATCTCTACTCTTTTGAACTGTTTAGGGGATGTAAGGGCTTGAATGGCTTCTAATGTTTTGCTTTTAAATGACACTAAAACTGAGGTCATAGCCTTTACGCCAGGTATGTCAGATTATACAACCTCTGGCCTTGATCTTCGCCCTCTTGCTGCTAATATGAAGGGCGTTGTCAACAATTTAGGGATCAGAATGGATTCAATCCTGAAGTTTGTGGCACAAATTAATCACGTTGTGCAGTCCTGATTTTTTAATCTGTGTTGTCTGTCAAGAATTAAGCCCCTTTTGTCTAAAGTACACCTAGAGTCTGTTACTCATGCTTTAGTTCTTTCCAGATTAGATTACTGCAATGGGATGTGCATCGGCCTGAGTCAGGGCCCAGTTGCACAGCTGCAGTTGGTTCAGAACTCAGCAGCTAGGTTCTTGACAGGCCCTAGAGCACATCACCCTCATTCTGGCACCTTTACATTGGTTCTCAGTGCATTTCAGGGAAAAAAATCCAAGTTGCTGACATTGGTGTACAAAGCTCCACCACCACCAAACCTTACAGGTCTCCTGCAGAGGCATGCTCCAACAGGCATGTTCTTTGTTCGGCTGATGGAGAGCTGTTGGTGGTTCCACGTTCAAAATGTAAGTCACAAGGGGCATCGTGTATTCTCTAGTGATGGGTCCAAGACTTTGGAATGAGCTGCCTTTGGCTGTGTGCCACTCTACTTTACAGTTTGTTTTTATGTCCCATCTGAAGACTCATTTTTTATGTCTCGGCTTTCTACCACTAAATGAGAAAGCGCAACATCATTGTCCTACTGTTTTGTGGTTTTTACTGTTTTTTAATGTTTGCATTTAATTTCCTTTTTTAGTAAATTTTTTAAATGTATATATTCGTTGTATTAATTTATGCAGATAAATGCAATATTGTGTTTCTGACTTTGTGTTTAGCACCTTGGGTGTCCGATGAGGACGTGAAAGAGGCTTTATAAGTAAAGTAATTTAAAGTTACGTTAGGCAAAGTAAAGTAAAGTATAGTAAAGTAAAGTAAAGTAATATGAAGTAAAATAAAGTCAAGTAATATAAAGTTGCTTTAGGCAAAGTAAAGTAAAGTAAAGTAAAGTAAAGTTAGGCAAAGTAAAGTAAAGTAATGTAAAGTAAAGTACAGTAAAGTCAAGTAAATATATAGTTTTAACATTAAACGCATATAAAATGAGAACAAATCAACACATTTTGCTGCAACGGCTGCAAGTATGATTTCAACTCTATCTATAGTCTGTTTCAAAAAACACTGGTACCACTTTGCCACAAAGCGAGGGCGGCATTGGGGACTATTTGGTCAAAGGTGGTCAGCCTGTGGTAGCATTATGGCACAATCATGTGTTTTTCACAAAACATTATGCATTGGTTGTTTAAAGAGCAAGTCACCCCCAAATCAACTTTTTTTCTGATAAACTATATAAATGTGTCTCTAATCGTGCTGCAGACACGTGCAGTCAATAGTTTTGCACTTTAGTGCATTTTAGTTAAAATTTAAATTTTCTGCCTAAAACTGTCAGGTAAAAACTCTGCACTGCATTTGAATTTAAATCTGCCATCGCTATTAGCTAAGCGGTACCCTAGAACGTTAGTTGGTACCATATGATGTCAGTTGTGAGCCTGTGTGTGTGTATTTGTTAGCGGCTCCGCCCTCTCGGTCTGTTAGGCAACAGCATTTGCTGCATTTTTCAAACAGGAAGTGGGAGTGAAGTAATACTCTGATATGGGGTGACTTGCTCTTTAAAGTAACACTCAGCAGTTTCCTGTTCCTCCACACTACTGGTTGAAAGTGGAATTACAACAATCCTGCTGCAGCTTGCTGTAGCTAGTGCTAACAATAAGCTAACACTAACATGAGCCAACTAATACTAAAACAAACCACGCAGTAAAAAGATCCACACCGTTGAACACAGAATATTATTACATACAAGTCCAGTAGCAAACAAAGCCATGTCACCATCAGTCTGTGATTTTGTAGCCTCTTTTAGTTCCATCAAACTAGTGTAGGCCATGCCGATGTTTACTCTGATTTTAGCAATTTGCTTCACTATAAAATTACTCTAATACTTTTACTTCCAGGCTCTGCAATGATGTCAACAAAACACCAAACTTCTTCTTTTTCTTCTTCTTGTGCTTTTTATTGATGATCGCCTTTGTCAGTGTGCCCCAGGGCAGCTGTAGCTCATCGTAGCTCATCACCATCAGTGTGTGAATGTGTGTGTGTGTCTGCTGCGCGGGCTGCCGGCTGGCTTGTGGTTCTCCCCTCCCCGCAGCTCGGCGCATCTCTGTCTGATCGCGGCTTCTGTCTGCTGCGCGGGCTGCCGGCTTTCAGCAGCTTTCGGGAGACCTCTGTGTTCCACCTGGTTTTACCCAGCGGTCAGCCCGGCGTACCTCTGACTCAGAAGCTCTGATGTTGTGCACAGTTAACTCCGGTTGTAGCTAGGTTGCTACCTCCGTTAGCTTAGCTCCCACCTCTGCGTTAGCTTTGGGTTAGCTTCAGGTTAGCTTGTAGCTAGTTCGACCGGGTGTCGTCAGTTGATCCCAGCCTTACAGCCACACCCTCAGCTCCACCTCTCTTCCCTTTTGTGGAATTGTCTGGGCTTGACGGAACCTGTGACACGGTCAAAATGGCGGTGGTGGCCACCTCCCATTTAGCCTCCAAAACGTGTTATTGGAGCCTATGGAAATGAATTGTCCAGTATATCGATGGTGTGAATGGATGAATGATACACTGTAGTGTAAAGCGCTTTGGAGTCCTTACTCTGAGAGGCGCTATATACGTGCAGGTCATTTATCATTTATCATGATCGGCTAACTGAAATGCTAACTGCTAACATAACAGCTAATATCAGTATCTGGCCAGTAGAGGACCACAGTGTTCCATTAAATATGAAACTGATCAAATTTCTAACCCAACAATCACTGAGATTGATGTTAAAGCTCTACCGTAAAAAGCTATTTAGTGTTTAAAGGGTGTGTTGGGGTGTTATCTGACTCGCTGTTGAGGACATCCTTTTAGCTTGGATGTAACTTGTTTTTTCTCCTAGTTTTTATTTTTGTTTTTTGCGAGTTGAACCAAACAGTGATTGTCTGACACAGTCCCCATGTGCTTCA